AACAAACACAAAACTTATGGAAAATAATATCAGGTCTGGGTTAGGTCTTAGGTGTTGCAAATCAATTTTCGAAGTACTTTCCACCATTTTGTACGAAACTAAACTAAATATGCAACAAGCAAAATTGTACGAGGAAGCAAAGTTTGAAGATAAAGTTAGAAATACAACGAAAATTTTGGTAAAATTCGCGACACACGATATTAGTTACATTTCCTACTCTGAAATCTGAATCTTTACAATTTCCACGCTTCTCTGCATTTAAATTCGAACCCGATTTCGCTAAATTTAGCTACCTTCGTGAAAAAGTCCCTCAGAGGGTACGATTTAGCGTACCGTAGTGGTAATTCTAGTAACAATAGATCGAAGAAGTATTCGAGTTATTGGCGCGCCGCGTCCCATAAAATATTTACAGTCCGAATGAAATCTATCGGTAAATATCACGCGTCTTTTCAATTCTGTTTCAGACGAACCATGAACAATGGGAGTTCGAGTGCCGTCTCGAGGGAAAAGGAAGAAAGAGTCGAAAGTAGGATGAACCGTGAACGGTCTTGATTCCTTGGCTGCCATCGCTGAGTGCAGCTTCGGAGTTCTCCGCGCTCTTTGGTTCTTTCTTCCTTCGTTCTATTCTGCGGCAGCCTATTTTCCTGCGGCTTCTAATGGCTCTCGAGGGTCCCTGTCTTATCGGTAACCCATTTTCTCGAATCTTCTCTCATAGAAAGTATCCGCGGTTCTATTTTCCAGCGTTTCCCTGCACCGAGGCGGCTTTCGTGAGAGAGAGAGAGAGAGGGGGACAACGATCGCAAACGAAATTCGAACGTCACGGACGGGCCTGACTCTTTGCTCTACCCGTACTTCAGCCCTTTGGGTGAGCAAAGTTTCAGGTGTGTCTGTGGCAGTCTGCCGTCGTGGACGTTGCGATCCTGAACAATAAACGGAGGAAACTTCGGACCGTGAAAGTTTATACGAATTCTCGTCGACGACAGTACTCTTACGCCTGAAATTTGCTTTTTACCTAGGCCTCGTGTTCTCTTGCAATGGAGAAAACAAAGGTGAGCAAAGTTTCAGGTGTGTGAGTGCGTTGGAATCAACAAGTACTTGGGCCTGGATAACGGGAGCAATGGCTAAACCAAACTACCGAGTGAAAGAGAAACACGAACGGGACAAGATGGAACGAGGATAAGAATAGTGTACGGGGGTCCGGTCGAGACCGTTGCGCTACTATAAAACTGTGCTCGTGCTGGAACAAGACGAAGACGTAGAATGAAACTTGATCGTAAAATTTTAAGTGTTCCTTAAACGCGACACGATTTCTCGAACGACGGGTTCGGAACGGTATTATGCTTGTTTACGATTCGACTTCGCGATTGATAAGGACATATTTGCGAGAATGTACGATGAAAAGCTCGAGCAACGATCGATTATTGTAACGTTTGAAGAGCTCAACTTTTTTTTTTTTGTTAGTCGTAAGCATTGATATTTAACACTTTAATGGCCGTGTGTATCGCTGATATTGTAGACCAAAGCGAGATACATGAATAAAAGGAATTATAAATGTAAATACAATATTGCGAACCTAGCATGTAAGTAATTAATACGCGACGAGATTATATCTTCACGCATTTTTGTTGGTTATTATTACTATTTGCGTCGTTCGAAGTAAGATGAAACCCGCGTTTTGGAAAATTCCCCTAACCGCAAGAGATGCGTTCGAGAATCAGTCTAAGATTAGCAATGACGTTAGACAGGTCTTGGAAAGACTAATAAATCAAATCGTGCGTTAGGATCTGGTTTCCGTCAGTGTCAGGCTTCCCCGTACGTGTATAAATCAATAACAGTGTGGTCGAAGCCAATGTAATTGAGAGTATGTAACTTTATACCTAAAAGTCAATAAGAAACTGTACTTAGGCGTCGAGGCGAACGAATACGCGCAAATTCAGTTAATATTTTTAAACACTTACCTTCGAATACCTGTAAAATTACTGAAATTTCTATCCATACTTTGTACCTTGTCTTGGAACATATATGTGCATTGTATAAACAAAATATGCAACTGTTAATTAAAATTATTTAACACCTTGTTCAAAAATCCCTGCACTAAATTAGGAAAAAAGCGTTACAATTGCATTCTATTCATTTTTTTTTATTTTGTACGTTTTTTAAATTAAGTTTTGTAAATACTATTTCCTTATCGTTATTTTAACTTGTTTTGGCAAAAATACAAGTAAATTTAAAGGCAAACGTACATCTCAAACACCTCTAGATCATTATAGCAACTACAATTTACTGGAAATTAGTATCTTAGTCTTTTAGCAGGCAATACCACAGACAAAGTATGTGTATGAATAGACCTTACATCAAAAAATTTCAAATCGTTCTGAAAAAATTATTTTTAGTTGCTAGAATCAATTACAATCAATTTTGGTGAATAGACATACCCCCGAAATCCTATCCACATTTGAGAAAAAAATTCGAGAAGGTTTGAAATTTTTCGACAAAATAAAAAATTTTCAAAACGTTTAGAAAAAATTATTTTCAGTTACATGGGTCAATTACAATCTTTTTTGGTGAATAGACATACCCCCGAAATCCTACCCACATTCGAGAAAAAAATTCGAAAAGATGTGAAATTTTTCGACAAAATTAAAAATTTTCAAAACGTTTAGAAAAAATTAATTTCAGTTACAGAGGTATATTACAATCATTTTTGGTCAATCGACGTACCCCCGAAATCTTACCCACATTCGAGAAAAAAATTCGAGAAGATTTGAAATTTTTCGACAAAATTAAAAATTTTCAAAACGTTTAGAAAAAATTATTTTCAGTTACATGGGTCAATTACAATCTTTTTTGGTCAATAGACATACCCCCGAAATCCTACCCACATTCGAGAAAAAAATTCAAGAAGGTTTGAAATTATTCGACAAAATTAAAAATTTTCAAAACGTTTAGAAAAAATTATTTTCAGTTACATGGGTCAATTACAATCTTTTTTGGTCAATAGACATACCCCCGAAATCCTACCCACATTCGGGAAAAAAATTCCAGAAAGTATGAAATTTTTCAACGAAAAAAAAAATTTCAAATCATTTCGAAAAAATTATTTTCAGTTACAGGGGTCAATAAGAATCATTGTTTGTCAATAGACATAACCCCGAAATCCTGGCCACATTCGAGAAAAAAATTCGAGAAGGTGCAGAAATTTTTCGACGAAAAAAAAAATTTCGAATCGTACTAAAAATTTATTTTCGATTGCGAAGATCGATTACAAATGTTTTTGGTAAATACACATACCCACATATAAAGAATTCATTACCGAAAATATAATGTGTGGCCAGAATTATTTCCTTAATTAAAAATCGCGATTGTAAAAGAAATACAATAAAGATTCAGTGAATAGTTTCTCAACTCACCGCCATCCGTGAGAAGAGGACGCTAAAATCAGCTCCGAATTTACAGGTCGGTATGGCAGTCAGATCGAGCCACGAAAAAATGCACGAAACTGGTTCGACTTCCTTCGGGATTCTAATTCAATTCGTAATAATAACGTGTTGATATTAAACGAAAGTATCATTAAAGGGTGGCAGGGAGAAGTAGTAATTAGATGATAAGTAATTAGATGTCGATAGGTAAAATATACGTACATTTATTGTCCGTAAAACTGCCATCGACAAACACATCTTTCCGCGCCAATTTTCACGTTAGGAATGGCGACGCCGGCGCAGTAGCAGCGCCATCGCGATTTAGGCGGCAGATGTGGAAAGGACCACCTATCAATCGAAATACTTTATAATGTAAATTATAATGTAAGATTAATAAATTGACGAGGTTTCTTTGATGAAAATAAAGCGAACAATCGATGCTAATTTGAACCTTTCGTCTTACAACGTAATATGACCGACTTCGATAAGCTTTCCATATTTATAATGTTGTATAGTAAACTATTACACAAAATAGATATAAAAGAACTCTTCTAATAAAAGCTACATGTCAAAAATGTTCATCCTTGCAAATATATTTTAGTATTTCTCGAAATATTTTTGAAATAGTCCTTGAACGCAGAGTAAGCTATGAAACTATACTTACAAGGCTGGTATTTTAATTCATCAAAGACAAGCTTCCATTAAATTGTCTAGTTCATCGTGTGCATTGCCATGGTATTTATTACGTTAGACACATAACACAATCGAACTGAAATACGAACTTGATAGGATACGATTAAAAATCCCACACAATACTGTCTAGTTGCTCGTACCCTAATGCAGTGAGTAGTTTCTCAACTAACCGGCATCCATGAGAAGAGGGCGCTGTGGTTATAGTTCCCAAGACCACCGTTCTTTAAACAAAATGGTCGCTCGGAAACCACTAGTTTTTTACCAGGTTACCAACTTTCATAAGATGCATAGTCTATTCTATACCTTGTCTATGGTTCAATCTTTAAAATAACCACGAGAAGATTATTGGACGATATCTTTTCCTAGGGTTATAATGATCCAATGATTAACAACGTATACCTTATCAATTGTAAATAATTATACTATTATCTAGGACGAATTTTCTACAGTATAGCTATTGTTGCGTCCCGAGTTCGTGGTTTAGGGGAAAAAGGAGGTGGGTTGGTTCATTAGAAAATAAACTAAGTATCTCTAAGAAATAACTTCCTTTCTCTCTACTTTCCCCCAGCTTGATCGCCCATGTTGAAAACCATACAATTGCATTGTTCATTATAATACGCTGATTCGTTTGAATTTTTAATTAGAATGCAGTTACATGACTCTGAACTCGACGGTGGCGCTTTGTGCATTAAACCTACATTCAGTAAATAGTCCTAGACTTCACTAGAGAGCTAGAGATTTTACTAGAGACCTTTTAGTTACTAAATATGGATTATTTCACTGGTCAATAAGCAGCGAGAATATAGAGCAGCTTGCAGCCCCCTGGTGGAAACCGGGAAGCATCACTGCAAATTCGATATGTGATCAGAAATCTTTTAATACGCCATTTTAAAGTGCAGAGTCATCAGTGCGCAGTCTAACGAAAATTAACCGCCTGTCGAAGTTTAATATATTTATCAAAACAAACGACATTTGTTTAAAGGCACGAACATGTCGGGGGGAGCTCTTTTTGGAAATAATGTATCTCGCAGTTCTTCCAAAAATTTGGTGGAGTTTAAAGCTGGAAAAATGACCATGAAAGGGAAAATGGTTTATCCAGATACACGAAAGGGCCAGCTATACGTTTATCAATCCGACGACTCGTTGATGCATTTCTGTTGGAAAGATCGTACGACAGGTTTTGTCGAAGATGTAAGTTTTTCATTAACTTTACATTTTTTTTTAAATCTGAAAATAATTCAAAATTACGGTTATTGTTACATTTGTATATTCGTTTTGGTTTTATATAGATTTGTATAAACTTCTTGTTTGGTTGCAGGATTTAATTATTTTTCCTGATGATTGTGAATTTAAACATGTTCCTCAATGCAAATCTGGAAGGGTGTATCTTTTACGGTTCAAGTCATCGAGCAAAAAATTTTTTGTCTGGCTTCAGGTAGGGTATATTCTTCTGTCATATTGTTTAAAATCATTGGTTGAGTGTTATTCCACATAATCTGAACTGCAGAAAGTAGAAAATTAAACAGGGTGATTCTGAAGAAGTTTCCTCGACAAAGGTAGCTTAAATGATGAAATGAAACTATCTTAATGTAGTGTATATGAGTATGGTTTTTCTAGTTCAAATTATGTGTAATATAAAAATTCTTAAAATTTCGTAAAAATAATTTATTTCATTGATAGTTATACAAACCCAATTTTCTTTATGAAATAGTTATATATTTATTTTTTTATAGGACCTTAAAACAGACAAAGATGAAGAGTACTGTAGAAAAATTAATGAAGTTCTCAATAACCCACCAACTCCTGGGTCACAAAGGAGTGGCAATACAAACCCAGAAGGGGATCTCCAAAATATATTAAATAATATGTCACAACAGCAATTGATGCAGTTGTTTGGTGGTGTAGGTCAAATGGGTGGGTTAGGTAGTTTATTGGGTACAATGAATAGACCTCAGGGTGGGCAAAGTACTAGTGCTTCTGCAACAACTGGACCTGCTAGAGCGCTTATAAACCCGCGACTTCCTTCGTCACATCGGCATAATTCAAATCACCGACATCCACATCCGCGAATTACCATAAATCCTGTAGGACCTTCGCCACAAACTGTGTCTTTACCAGCATCTACGAATGATACTCCAAAACCGAATGGTGAGTGAACTCGTGATATAAATAATACACGGTAATTCATGTGAATCTTCATCCAGGAGACAACAAACAAACAACCAAAACGCCAGCTCCGTCGACGTCTGGAGCAGCGAAAGGCGCCAATAACAAAATACGACTTAGCGATCTTCAATCCTTCTTATCGAAAATTCCTACATCGACGGAATCGGAATCTGTTGTTCAGGTAATATCTTATATTCCTTAACTACCTATATTTTATATGCAATATTATTTTTAAATTTTAAGTTTATTGATATAAAACTGCTTTATTAAATATGTTGTTGCAACTGACTTAACGCAAGACTGATCCCAAAAATGAGAAAAGTTTTGTACCATTTGGCGCCAGCTTGTCCCCCCTATTATAACGAAAAAACGTACTATGGAAATCATAGTGCAAGACGGTTCTTTTCCTTTTTATTGTCGAAATAATACTAGCTGTTAGAATTATTAAAACGAGCGCAGAAAGGTTAGATTATCTTATATCTAACTAACGAAGTCTCAGATCGCAAAATGGAGTAAGATTTTTCGATTTATACGGGTACGAATTGATCCTGAAAATACCCCGCATAATATATTTAAATGCATTTTATTTTTATCTATATGTATATGAAGATTTATTTTTGTATCAAATTTGCATTGCAAACTAATATTTTTTATACCAAAAATTTTATGCAATATACTATTTTTTTTATGGACATAATAAAAAACAATTTGTATTTGATATTTTAAAGCGATAAATCGTAATTATATAAAAGCCCGATTTCATTGTCATAATCATTTTGATAAGATAACAGGCTTTCCGTGTATAATTCTTTTTCAAAAATAACCTTACATTAAATGATTCTTCAGCAGTTATATTATTGTTTAAATTGAAGGAAAACGCAAAATAATATATGTTTTTTATGCAATTAAAAGTTATGAATGTTATGCAATATGTTGTTCAATGTACTAATTACTGAAATAAGCTATTTACCTTTGTTTTTTTTTCCTTAATGTATCTTCTCTTGCAGTTATCATTATCAGGAATAGAATGGTATTCTTGATAGTGCACATGGAGTGACAGTCAAACTTGTGGAGATATGGATGTTTTTCAACATTCTTGAACAACTGTGCATAAAAAATCATTCATTAAATCTTCTGCATTAGAATTAAGGAAATTTCAATTGTTTACAAAAAACAGTGCCATTGTTTAACAAATGTTGCACAGTCATTTGAATTTAATTTTTTTTTAGCTAACTCTACATTGTGTCGTAATGTCATGAATAACCATGCAAGAAATCATGTAAAAAACGCATACTCATAATATCATTTGAGTTTCAAACTTCAGGTTCATGACATTGTGTAAATTTTGTTTCTGTGTTAAAATCAGTGATATCATCAGTAATCGAACCCGCAGTATACATTCGCAAAGTAATATAATAAAATCAAAGGAATAGAGGCATGGCGTTTTCATTATTTAACATTGATTTCTGCTCGAACTTTTCCTGGCTGTCGGAGACCCTGGCTCTGCTGAGCAGTTGGGGCGGTTTCTCTGGGATTATTTGTTGTTTTCGGCCACCTACAGCACAGCTTATTGTCCGGCAGAGGGGCGTAGCAACTGAGCTGACCAATGCCATCCCTGCGGCGATCTCCGCATCGGAAAGTTTGGAGCGTGCAATGAGCCCACACTTACCACCAGGGGACCACCTGTGTACCACGCTATTGTCTCCCCAGTTCTCCCAGGCGCTATCAATGTTCTGGTCTGCTTTGCAGTCAGGCCAGGCGGGACCTGTCGTCCGTCAATTTGGCTTGGGACCCGACGCGGTTGATGCTGCTACCAGTGGAAATATCGAAGAATTCGTCACTGCTCTTGAATCTGAAGCTCAGACTGGCCAAGAACAGACACAGCAAGGACAAGAAGACAATAATACGAAACAAGCATCACCGACATCTAGTCCTGATAAGAAAGACGACGACGAAGGAATGGCTTCAGATTAAGAAACAAATTTTATGCGTCTGATTTCATCTATATTTTCATTTAGAAGGTATGCAACATGTATTACATTATAATCACAGTACGTGTAATAAATACTTCCTTGAAGAATAATGTACTTTATTACAACTAAAAAATATTTTAAATTGTCCTTTGAAATTGTAAATACAAAAAATTACTTAAGCATAGAATTTCTAAATTTTGTACAATAATAAAAAGTGATCCTTTAGTTGTGGTGTACTCCAACTGAAAAACAACCACTGTGTCCAACAGTGCCATAAGTGTTGCTGGGATGAGAGGTACCAATAAAAATTAAATCCAGGACTGCAATGATAATTTGTGCAATCCATGATGCCCAATGACAAAGGAAATATGAATGAGACTAAACGTGACATTTATAACAAAAATGTACTTAACACGCATTGTTTATAATAAATGTTGCAGTGATATCTCAATTCATGATATGTACCACGTTTGATACAAACAATACATTTGTGCACACAAATATTTCTAACTCTTATAATATGTATCATTAATAATTGTATTATATTATAAATATTAATATAGTTTATTTGGTTAAATTTACAAGAATACTATATTTCTATTGCTAAACTGTAATTCGGATCCTTTTCCACAAAGCTGCGGCGTGGTTCGGAAAAAAACGTCGTTAGTTTCATTTTTTCCATATGCAAGCTTTTAACAATAATGTATTTTATGTTTATTGGAGTAATAATGCATTTTAAAGATTGAATTCTATATACAGAGAAATCAGTAATTATGAAGCTTAAATGACGCCATGTAAGGTAATGTTATCAGATCAGCTGAATCTGGCATCTCTGTTTAAATGGTAGGCCGTTGCGCAAAAGCTCATGCGCAGGCCTGTGTATTAGTGTGTGTAAGTGGAGACGCAGTTTCCTCCAGACGCTAGTCTGCCATCTGGTAACACTGGAGCAGGTCTTTGTGCATCATTGGAACGTTAGAAGCAGAAACTGTAACAATTAAAAAGCTCCAGGGGGTAGGGCTTGCCGAGTGCATAATCATTGTAATATACAGTAAGTAATTCGAAATAAATATACTTGTTAAATGTATTTCTAACACCGTTCGGTCGAGAATTATTATCATGTATTCTGAATGATTCTACAATGCTAAGGAAACGTTTAATTACAAATTCTGTAGTAGTATCAGATATGTTATTTTTTTAGACGCTGTTTAATATTTACAGGTTCACTGCCAAAGAACAACTACTAATGTACTCCATGGACAACCATGTGCCATGCATTCTTACTGGCTTTATCTTTTACAGTTTTGGCTTGAAATGGTGCTATGATTATGCTAAGTATTGGGTATCCTTGAGACCCAGAGATGATTCAAATGCAACAAAAGGTTTAATGTTTATAGAGAAATGTGAGAAATTGTTGAATAGACACCCGATAGAGGGGAGCTTGAAATTGATAGCAACTGCAGTAGGTTTAGCTAGTACAATAACCGGTGGTCTGCAACAAGCTGGCACAGTGTCTCCGAAAGTTGTTTTAGCTACGATTTATCTCTTTTTTGCATTCTCTGGCCTTGTAGATGTTTTGAATTTTTATTTTCCGCACAATGTAAGCGAGGGATTAGTTAAGCTGGCGCTTGGCCAAAGTTTTTTCATAGAAGGATTCCTTTTCTTATGGGGAAGTGTAGGGAGCAATGCGATAGTCAATTTAATTTTAGCATTCATAGTATGGACAACATCTCTAGCCATTATTTTGGAACTTGTTTGGCCTGAATTAAAACTTTTAAGAGCCTGTACAACATTACTCCATGGTGGTTGGATAGCACATATGGTACGTGTGTATCATGCGGTACCACTTTTGCCAGAAGGTGTTGCTCTTGTATTTTCTTGGCATGTTGCTGCTGCATCAGCCGTAACATTGTGCGTAGTAGCCGTAACAAGAAGCTGTGCTCCTAGACTTATAATAGATGGACCACCAGAAATACCAATTTATGACTATTATCAAGCACCAGACCATAGAATGTAAACGTTTTGAAAGAAATTGGTAAACAATTTAATTTCGCGCACGTATAAAATTTATGCATTATGCATAAAAAATAATATTTTTAGAGTAGTATACTATAGATATTGTAGTGCCAGATAATGAGAAAGCAAAAACCAAATTCAAGTTTTACATGATGTCAGTATTTTTTTACTTAATATTTATAACAATGCTTCGTTTTGTAACACAACGAATAACTCTATTTTATACGGCTCTAATTATACAGTCATGATAGTGTAAGCAATTTTGTACTACCCTGGTATTGTAGGTAAAATACTCATTAGGACTTAAGAGGTGCCTTATGATATTATTGCTCACTTATTTATTAATAGAAGAATGTAATACTTCATCTTTTGTAATAAGTATTTCTACTTCACCGCAAACCCATGTGCCAAGAGAATTCATGTAATTATACAATGTATATAAATCATTTTATTAAACATATTTGTAATTCATTCAAGTTTTTATCGACCTTAAGTTAATTTTTATAATTGGATAATCTGGAAATAAGTAATCTGGACCTCCCTAACTGCAAATTTGGGGAAAGTTGTCCTGCTCGTCGACCAACGACAACTTTCCCCAACATCCTCACGCACCCCCTTCCAAGGGCATCGTTGCAAGGGTGCTTGAAACTCTTGGAAGGGAGGAAAGGAGACGGCGTAGGGTCGTAATTATAATTATCGTTTCATGTTGATTTTATGATTATGATTTTCACATAGAACATTACTAGATGCTAGTTTCAAAATTCGTTATAATACCAACCTTGACAACGCATGCACCATTCTTGGATTAAGTTGGAAGATTGGAACTTAAATAACTGTTCGTAACCTAACTCAAATTATAAACGATGTTGTCATTTTTATCAATAATAACAGTGTCCCCAAAGTTGAGTTAGGTTTTCAAAAACAGTATACGATATGATAACTACGATACAATATATAAACTATTCCTTTATTGTTTAATTAAATTTATTATTATCGTGCAATGTAGTGTGTATAGAATTATCAATAATGTTTTAATACTAATAAATTATTTATTGTCTTGCATAAAGCACAGACATGTGGAAAATAATGAATTTATAACTAATTTAAAAATTTAAATTTTACTGAAGAGACAAATTTACTTTTAATTAAATAAAAAAAAAAGATAAAATGGAAACAACAATCACAGAATCCATGGAGGAGAGTCCTGAAAAGATTCATACTAGTCTTCCAGTGCAAGTAGTAAGAGTACCAGTAAAACACACAAATCTTGGAATAAGAAGTCATGCCATGTAAGAGAGTGAAACAAACTAAATATTTTTTTAAAACATTAAAAACAATTTATATTTTAGGGATATGAGTACAATGGTAGAACTGACTTCCTTCAGCACATTGGGGAAAATACAGCCTTTTTTAGTTACAATAACAACTACTGCAGCTTTGCTGGTAGATTTACATTGTCATTTAACAGACAAAGAAGTTTGTGGCTACCTAGGTGGCCATTGGGACATTAATTCACACAGTAAATATCCATAAAAGTTAATGCAAATAATAAGAACAGTGGGAACAAAAATTGTTTCTTCTTTTAATTGCAGATTTATCCATAACAACTGCCTTTCCATGCCGGTATTCTGGCAAAGACAAGTCAGCTGCAGCTGCAGTTGAAGCTGAAATTGCAAGAGCTATGGAATGGAAGCGCGTGACTTTGGTTGGATGGTATCATTCTCATCCTACATCACATGCTTCCCCTTCACTTAGGGATGTTGATTCTCAATTAGATTATCAGATTAAAATGAAGGGACCTAGTGACAATGGATACACACCATGTGTGGGATTGATATGTTGTAAGTATTTATGTCTTTAAATTAAATGCAATTTTGTAATTAATATTTGCATAAATCAAAGGACAATACCATTGCTTATAGCCCCATACAACACTGATGGCAGCTGTTATGAGTCAAATTTTAACGTTTTTTGGTCTTTACCGCCGCCGGAAAATCGGCCTCATGAATATCCAAGGCCAATGCTATTAAGTTATACTTTATCCCAAGAGCATTTCCTTTCTCAAGATACATTAGAAGAAATTGTAAGTATCTACAGTGGTGCCCACTTAAATGACCGCGGACACTTAAGTGGGCACTACTGTATTCATATTAAATTAATAATTCATGGCATCATTTAATCGGGTATTACATACTTTTCATTATAGAGAAGGTGTATAGAGTATTATAGAAGCGAAGGGGGTATTGATTTTACTGCCAATTTTAACAACAGTACAACTTATCTTGAACGTTTAAGGGTAAATATGCAAGAAATAACGTAGACGTTACGCAATTAATACTAAAATATTTGTGTTATGTTAACAGTGTTCCCTCGCGTCCAAATTGCCTGGACGTAATAGATCGAATGGGTCTTATTGGGACGTAATTAGAGAAATGATTTGTCCTGGTTCTGAAGACGGAACGTCCGATTTTCTTTCTATGAAATTTCCATTAGTACCTGTCTCAGAACCATTAATTCCCTCTGTTCCACCAGGAGTCGGTCTGGCACCTAACAATGCAACAGTCTTCCTTACTCCTGTAAACTTTAAACCTGATAGTGCCATAATAACTCCCACATCAAAACCCTTTGTGATGCAGCCATCTACTTCTAGAGATAGTATTAAAAAAGATAATATTATAGCCACAGATACTGCATCCATCACACAGATAAAAGATAGTAACTCTGCACCATCCAAACAACACATATCACCCTCAGAGGTGATACCTAGCTTTCAATCCGGAGAACTCACGGTCTCCTTAAAAAATACAAAATGCGACTATGATTTCCCTCCAGCTGATTTCTCGAAACTTCCCAATCCTCTCGGAACAGACACCGCCGTTAATAAATCGCGTTCCTCTACGACGCCCGATTTCCCTTTAGCCGATATAACGCAACAGATCTCGAAATTTTCCGACTTGTCGAAGTTAGCAAATTTTTCTACGTCGGATTTAGCTAAACTTTCGGGATTTTCGATCGCGGACTTTACGAGGACATCGTCGCCTTCGCCATCCACTTATATGCGTAACATCGCGAATTTGTTCGGCTCGATCGGCAAAATTTCACCCGCGAGAGATATCGAAGGGAACGAACGTAAACCAACTGATTTTGCTATGGTCGATCAAATTCAATCGCCCTTCAAAGGGACTACCGGGTCTTCGGAGTCTTGTAGAAACTTTTCTGTTGCCCCTGAAGATTATTCAACCGAACGAAAGAAAATAGAAGCTCAAAATGATAATATAAAATTAAATCGATCGAACGAGTATCAAGGAACCGAAGATTTGACAATCTCTAACGTTAAATCCGACTTTGGTGGAATGTTGGATATGACGACGTTGCATAAGAAGCAACAACAATCGCAACCTGGCGATATTAGCGATTCGCTAAATTTATCTAAGGATCGTTAGTAGACTATATTATTATATCGTGTATTGTACGTTTGAAATTAACTGTCTGTATGAACGTATTTAATGTGATTTGTATGTACACTTATGCCTATTAATCGCGTAATATTTGAACGCATATTATGTTCTTTTTTCTAACTGGAAAAATCGAAATTGATAACTTTTTTATTATGCTTAATAAACAAATGTTTTTTAATACTCATTTACATTTATCTATAGAAATATAAATATACAACTTATGCGTCATGTGTAATTTACGAATGTACCTACATAGTTGCAAAGGACATTGCGTCATTTTCTTAAAATCGACGAGTACATATATATCTTTTAGTCTTGAGTCAGTTGAATCTTGAATCGTAGTAGATCAGTAGATCGTCGAATCGGTCGGGCGGTATTAAGCAAGTTATGTGTCTGATCGTTCTTGATTAACGAAAAGCAAGACAAATATAATTTCAATAAACTCCTGGTTTTAATAATCTTCATATTCTTATTCGTATAGGTGTTTTCAAAAGTGTCTAAACAAAATTGTACCACACTAGTTAGGTTATTTGAGGTTAGAGCATGCCAAATTGTAGAACTAATGAACGGTTTGGATGAATCTGTGTTTTCATCAGAATTAATATGTTTCGTCCGACGAGAAAGTTTTTATTAACCTTAGTTCGCGTGAAAGAATGTCGTGCTGTGCACGTTAGTTGCCAACATTTGTCAGAAGCCACAGAATATGAGTGTAAGCATTACATATTGCAATTAATAGAATTGCATTGTTTTTCATACGTGAACGAATCTTTTCATTGTAGCTGCTATTACCGATGAGTATAAAAGGGGACCTACAGAAGGTAGATCCCTTTATTTGGATGCTCAAGCGACTACATCCTTGGTATGTACAAAATAATAAATCAGACTTTACGATTAGAAAATTAAATTTTCTGTACTGCCTATGTAGGATCCACGAGTATTAGATAAAATGATGCCTTATTTTACAACATGTTATGGGAATCCACATTCCAGAACACATATGTATGGGTGGGAAACAGAAACTGCTGTTGAAGTCGCTCGTGATGTTAGTCATATATGATTCTCTTATGTTATATCGAATAATAGGAACTGTGGTTTAGAATGGTATTAATCTGATGTTTCATCTTCGATAGCAAGTAGCAAATTTGATAGGCGCGGATAAGAAGGAGATTATATTTACCTCTGGTGCAACAGAATGTAATAACATAGCTGTAAAAGGTGTAGCAAGATTTTATAAAGGAAAAAGAAATCATATTGTGACAACACAGACAGTATGTTACATTTGAATATTGTTTGAATGTTGTGTGTTACTTTAAGCTTGTAGACTTCAATATAATTATGTTGATATAGGAGCACAAATGTGTATTAGATTCCTGTAGAGCCTTACAGTCAGAAGGATTTGAGGTAACATATATTCCAGTAAAATCAAATGGTCTTATTGATCTGGATCAATTAGAGGATGCAATTAAACCCACAACATCCCTTGTGTCTGTAATGATGGTAAATAATGAAATAGGTGTGAAGCAGCCAATTGCAGAGATTGGTGCTATTTGCAGGTAAAAAGTGGCATGCTGTAGATTAATATTTAGAAAACAATTTTTATATGCAATTTTTATATGGATTCCTTTTATAGGAAAAAGAAGGTTTTTTTCCATACAGATGCAGCACAAGCTATTGGAAAAATTCCAATTGATGTGAATGCTATGAACATTGATTTACTATCTATCAGTGGTCATAAAATATATGGCCCAAAAGGTAATCTCTGAAGTTACATATACAGTAGTGCCCACTTAAGTGCTGCGGTTATCTCCGAGCGTAATTTGACGCCGGTCGTTATCGCATTGTATAATGGTTTCGAGTACCAGTTATTGTATCTCACTCACACTTATTCTTTTTCCTTATCTCCGTTGAATTCTGAGAAGTAACTATGCCCACATAAATGACCGCCACCGGTCCCGAGCGTCATTTAAGCGGGCACTACCGTAGTTTTTTATTATTTTTGTAGTTACGTAATTATAGCCTATTTAATATTAAGGAATTGGAGCTTTGTATGTGAGAAGAAGACCCAGAGTACGCGTGGAAGCGATTCAAAGCGGAGGTGGTCAAGAACGAGGTATGAGAAGCGGTACTGTCCCAGCACCATTAGCAGTAGGTCTGGGGGCAGCATGTGAATTAGCCCAAACAGAAATGGAGGTAATTTTAATCGAGAACTATTCGTATTTTAAGGCTAGATGTTTGATCAATTTTGTATATTTCTTAGTACGATCACAAGTATATCACATCGCTAGCTAATCACTTGATAGAAAAATTAACGTCAAATTTGCCACACGTTATACGTAACGGGGATACGGTTTCTTGGTATCCCGGATGCGTGAATTTATCTTTCGCGTACGTAGAGGGTGAATCTTTGATAATGGCACTGAAAGAGATTGCTTTGAGTAGTGGTTCTGCTTGTACTAGTGCAAGCTTGGAACCTAGTTATGTATTGAGAGCAATTGGAGCATCAGAAGATCTGGCACATTCCAGTATTAGGTGAGTTATGTTTGTTAAACAGCATCGAACAATGTCTTAATGATTACTTTATTTATTTGTGTAGATTTGGTATTGGTCGTTTCACGACGTTCGAAGAGATTGATTTCACCGCGGAAAATACGATTCGGCACGTTAAAAGACTTCGGGAAATGAGGTATGGCTTACTGAGTTACAATATAAATATTTATTTAATACGAAAGCATAATTTCATTTATGTATAGTCGACCACGAATGTCAAAAGTATAATAGTCGTAATAAGCGGAGGGAACAGATTCAATGTCGGACGTTTTTCATGATTCAATATCGAGTATATAGAGTTAGATATTAATTAATACTTAATAATAATGCTTATCCGAATTGCTTCTTTTACAGCCCATTATGGGAAATGGTTCAAGAGGGAATTGACCTGAAGACTATCAAATGGACTCAGCACTAGTGGCTTTTAACCACATAGCTTTCACTATCTAATTATACAGATAGCATGGATTAAATGTACAATGATATTGACCGTAAGTTGCAAGAAATAGATAAAGCCTAATTAAGTAAAATATTTCGTAATGTGTAATAAATTTTTTATTTAAAATTTTTTCCGAAAATTCTAGGTTTTATGACGATTGTATATAAATTTTGTGTTGATATTCCCCATTCTTCTCCCGTCTTTAGTTTCACGATGCTCTTCCTCATAGAAAAGACATTCATGATAGTTACTTAATATGTAAAAGATACTTGTACTCCTCACACTTTATTGCAGTGTGTTGAGTTTGTCAGGTTATAAAAACTTGTCATGAGTATATATTTGCCAATGATCGTGTTTAGCACAAACACGACGGATCGGCGGCTTCGTCGATGTATGAAATTTTAAATCTGTCTTTGTCCATTTCATGCAATTCCATGCGCGATCTGTTAGCCTCAACTAGATGTTGGGCTATGTCTTCGAACATTTCGTGTATTCCTTCCCCGGTTTTACATGATGTTTTGTAGGTACCAGAGATTAAATTGTGGCACTGTTCACTGCAACGAGTATTATTATTTATTAATATACGACAGCTCATTAGGGGTGTGCCCGACGGTTACTCGATGGTTTCGGGTTTCGAGTTTCGAGATTCTCGAATTTTCGGAATTCACAGTCACACGATTCTTAGAATCCGTGTTTCCAGTAATTTTACGAAAATTGGCGTGAAGAAATTGAAAGAATATTGTCTCGAAATATTCGAGAGCTCGATTCGACCATCGAGTTCCCGATGTTTACATATTGCATTAAAGCAGTTAAATCATCACAATCTTTACCAGAACTGTTCCATTTCTGCATCCGTAACTTGTGGGGCTACGCTTTCTATGTCACTTTTGTTCCCACAAAGAAATATTTTTGCATTTTCTGCATATGTTACAATATCCAGCAAGTGCTGAGATAAAAGGTGGAAAGACGTTGAATTGTCCAGTGCAAACACTAAGATAGCAGCTTCCGCAAACTTGTAATAGCTTGATGTTACAGATGCAACTCTTTCCATACCACCGGTATCCCACAATTGCAACTGAAAAATGAAATCAAGCAGAATGTTCAATTTCGATAGAAGCTTCCAATCGCTTATTGTTTATTTACGGAAGATGAACACATCAATTAGATTTCAAGGATTTGTCAACATATATATATATATATGTAGATGCATTACCCGTATTCGTCTGTCTTCGACGAGATACTCTTTGTCGATATTATCGAGACCGAGTGTCGATTTCCGATCGTTGCTCGACACAAAAGTATTGTTCGCGAAACGCCTGAATATAGACGTTTTACCCACACCGTATTCTCCGCACAGAATAACTTTCTGTTCGGTTACTTTAACAGTAGCCATGTTCAGCTTATGTCACTTCACCGGTTATACGGAAATAGAAAAGCAACATCAATAACAACAAATCATCGTGCTTGGATGTATCTTCTACGATGATGTGAACATTTTTTTAAGGGGTTGTTTGCCCCTACATAGTCACTAATACAAGTGCGATGACACTCGTGACAGAAAAATTATACCAGAAAAGAAACGAACCACAAGATACCTCTGCTGTAGAACACCTATTCACATCGATAACATGGAATAGAGTTTCTATAATAATCTCGTTAAATTCGGTTATGGTTGTATCTATCTATTATAGCAGATGTTGATCATAAAATGATTAAATGTTTAATTGTTTCAGTGCTAAGTCAACGATGCAAATTCCAAAAATGTGATTTGTGTACAAATTTGTATCGTTTTTTGTGAAACGGTTTATTTAGTTTGTGTATAGCGACGAATTTGTTTTTGATTTTTTCATATAATCGATCAAATCAATTTCGTCTAAAAACAGGATGAAGTTTTCGACAAAGTATCGAATTGATTTGAAATCGATGGTCCCCATAATGTTGCTCTTTGAAAGTTGCACCGTCCGGTGGTGCCATCTGCATCGAAATAACTCACACGCGAACGATGGTGTATGTGTTCAATCCTCAGCTGTTTAGACTTTTCGTTTGACGTCCGTTTATTTCAATGTTGTCGCGTATTGTTGACACGATTGTTTCTGAGTCGTTTTTTTCGTCGAGAAAATAACGAATTCTCGTCATGGTACTGAACGAGGTGGAAAAATTCCTTCACAAGCTAGAGAAAGCTGAATTGGAGGTGAGTGTGTCGTCCAAGCATTCGCGAATATAGGTTATGCCGACTATCGCGATAGTAACGATATTCCGTTATAAATAAATCCGTGGAAAGTGCATTAATACAATTATTCTTTTACAGGCTCCTGGCGGAGTTGCACGGACTCAGACGTATGCTCAATTATTAGCTGTGTACCTTTATCAGAATGATTTGTAAGTACAAAAGTATCATACATATTTCTATTCAGTTTTTGTCGTCTGAATAACTGTTACATTGAAACGAATAAGTCTTTAACAAAAAAATTTACTAACAAATTACTAACAAAGTATTCATGTTATTTTTACAATAAAATAATCATTTGTGTATCTCGTGTCGACGCCATCTGTTAATTCGATATCGATACTTGCAAAAGTAGTGCGAAATTTTTTACTAATAACTGTTTATGAACAATTGTATATGTATATATAATTTCGTATGTGTCACGTAAGTATTTTACATATCATTTTTGTCGTTTTCGTTTAATTGAGTCGTTTTTCCTTGCACCTCGACCGAGTGGCGGGAAATTTAAAAGTTCAACCCAATCGTATCGATCTTATCGCGTTTTTTCTTTATTCTTTGGTTTGGAAAAATCGATTTTATGGTTTAAGTTGTGCGTTTACCCTTTTCCTGTGGCGGAAACAATTTTTATCGCGCAGTTGTGCGTCTGTTGCTCCAGGCCGTTTATTTACGGTTAAGTTGCATGCTGTTTTTTGTCGCACATAATTTATTACAAGCCCCATCGGTCACGCCATTATATTTATTGCACCACGCTCTTCCTTATATTTTAATTTACTGCTAATTAATGCCATCGTTATACGTTCAAGTTTATGGGTCGAGGAAACGAAAACGTTTTATGTTCTACCATTTACTTTAATTCTTCATTTTATGGATATATTGAGAAGGCTGTAAACTGAGATTGAGACAAATGCAAATGTGATTTTCAAGCAAATTGAAGTGTACACAAATTAGTTTCTAAAAAATATGTGTTTCGTTTTTAAACAAATACCCGCCCGATCGATGTATCGATCCGTGTTTATTTGATCGAAAAATCGGCGCCGCAGATGCAACGCTAAGTACCTATGGAAGCGGATACCGGCGAACCTGAAAACCAGAAGCACGGAACTCAAGCAAATATGGGTGGTGGGACAGCGTATGTGGCAACGGGACTGGCACGCGGTCCATGCTGCCCTCAACGTGGAATGGAGCAAAGATGTCTCCGATATTATGGCTGCTTTGAAAGGTATGTGTGTCGCGGAATGAATGGATTTATCAAGTTCGAGATTAAAAGCTGATTCCTCTTGGCAAAACGATTCGAAGTTGTGCAACAAAGTATCGTTTATTGTTGAAATTAACTTAGCAACTTCTTCATAAAAAAGGTTCAGAGTTGGGCATCAGAAGTAATGAAAATGGAAGAATAATATTTACTGAAAGGCTAAGTATTTTATAAAATTTTTGCTATTAATTATTATACATATCATCGAGTCCAGTTTAAGGTATTCAAGGAATTAAATGATGATCCTTAGTTGCTGAAGTATTTACCATTTTAAATGGAGGATGCCCAACTCTGTTGAGACTTAAAGAAGAAGGGACTTTGCGTGTAACTTTTGGTGGTTCTTTCAGATAACGTTCGCGAGAGAGCAATGGTGTTGATATCGAAGGCGTATTCGTCGTTGGACATAAACGTGTTCGCGTCGATGACGGGATTGGCGTTGGAAGAGGCGCGTCAAATGGCCACGGAAAGAGGCTGGACCGTGGATGGGACGATGGTGCAGCCGTGCAAGATCGAGAAAGAGGAGTGTAACCGCGTGAGCGAGGTATGCCTTACAGAGGATCAGCTGCACAAGCTCACGCAATTCGTGTCCTTCTTGGAGAACTGAACGATACCAGCCAGCGGGCCGTCGGTGACGAAGCACGGATCACGAAGACCCCCGATCGACAGTACTTTAAACATAGTTTTACCTCGTAATCGTATCATATAAAGGAGGAAGTGTGCCTCAAAGGAAGCACCTGTGTCCCCATCCTAAGTATACCTACGGTCTGCCTACGCGTTCTGCCCGTTCGACTGGAAGATCCATTCGATGAAGCTCGCCGCAAGCGTGGAGTCAACAACTCGGTTAATCAATAATCGAGCGAGAAAAGGCGGACTGGCATTTTCTAGAAGAGCCATCCTCGAGAGCAATCGTCCACGCACGAAGCCACGGATTTCTGGACCAGTTATGTCCGACTCATCGGTGTTGATCTTAGCATTAAACCGCTCTATTGTACAAAATAATAATTACGGACGCGAATCACTACCGTCCTGATGCAGCGCTCCACACGCAAAACGATGCCTTGTCATTCGATGCTAATCCTCCCCATTTGGTTCTCACTCTTCCCCGGGGAGACACAGTTTTTCAAATTTCATCTACAATCGTTCCCTTTTGGGGTTTCTGAATTTTACCGGGACCCGATAAAGTCGCGGTAGCGGAGTAAACGAAAGCAAGCGGGTGTTGTATTCCGCGAGGAGATTCCGCCGCGAGCATTGCGTCACGCAAATCGAATCCTCGCGGGTCAGAAAAATCGCGGACAGCAAGGTATGCCCGGTCGGCCGCGGCCTCCTCCGTGGCCCCCGTCGACATGCCAGCCGAGTAATTCCCTATGAAATCGATTCTGACCGTCCCGCATTGTAAACGCTGGATATGCACAATCGCGGTCTCGATTGCGTAACGCCTGGATACTCTCAAAGAAATCGTTTCCACCGATCGGCAGGTAGCCGGTGTTCACCCACCGTCATTGATGGCGGTTGCTCTTTTTTTGGCTCCACTACACTCTAGAAAGTTGTTGCACCGGTATCACCGATCCTACACGCTCTACCCGCGTTTCATATTTTACGTGTACACCGCGCCATTTGTGTTTCCGCATAAATTCTACGCGATACGCGGGTCCCCTCTGATGTTTACGTTCCGTTTATGGAAGCATTCCCCATTAAGAAGGCGATTGCTTGGATAATCATTGGAATATTTTAAATAAAAAAGTTTATCCAACGCAAACGTAAACGTAAACGTAAACTTTTGTAGACGTATTTCTGGACTTCAAATTTCTTTCCATAATAAATATTTTGGGTGTTCCAAATCAAATTGGGTGTTTTCCGTCAGTTCTTATTCTACTGATCGACAGTTTTTTCATCTTTATCGTCGAAGCGTGCTTTTAATAGTTCGAAACCTGGTTGACCCAGTTCGAAAATCGTAATTCTTACAACCGAGCCGTGTTACGAAACAACCGGCTCATCGTAACGCTGAACATGGTTAGATGAGAGTTCCGGATAGTGATAAGGCTCCCCGGAAACCGAGTACACCTGCTGTTCAAGCTAAGAAAACTGGCTATCTGCCTCGAACGTTTCAATCGCGCTCGGGGAGATTGGAATCTTGTAATTTAATAATTCCGTTAGTTTTCAAGAAATAGCCTTAACCTTTTCGGTGAATATTCAGAAATTTTGTAAATGTATTGATATAGTTGACGGTTTGCGGGGAAACTTAAAAATAACGTTTCTGGCGGCGACAAATTCGAACCAAAAGTAGTTTCCAATAATAGACACCACTCGACAGTAATTAAACTTGGGGATGATTGGCCTACAGGTTTTTTAAAAAATATTAATCTTTTGTTTTAAAGGTATTTACTGCTTTATGGCTCTATTTAACAGTTTATCAAAATTTGCGTTTGTTACGCGCGAGTAGAATTTGTCCAACTTCGCGTACGTAAATAGGAATGTTTTAGTTACAATAAATTGCAAATATTTCATCCCGGGAATATTCATAAATTTGCTGGCGCGAAAACGTGGGAATGAATGAAAAGAAACGCCTTCAGACGTATCTGGAAGGCGTTCCCACGCGTTCGTACCACATCAAAGAGCCTATCCTAGCCGCTGTTTGTATCAAGAACGTGCGATCGGCGCAATAATCGGTATCGAAAAAGGCGTTCGGTCAGCGGGGGGTTGCAAACTGGGTAGGATGTTGCCTAGGACGAGGATGACTATGCCGACCCCGCGGTACACGCGAGAGATTACTGACTTTCAATAATGCAGATTCATCGCCGTTCCAACGAGCGATGATTGCATCGCGATATCGCGTTTCTCTTCCCTTCGTCTCTTTTCACTCCCTGTTCCTTCGACCCGTCGACTCTTGCCCCCCTAGACGGGAAGCATAATCGTCCGGAGGGGATGAAACAGGTCGCACAATCGCGAATTGTTCGCCATCTTACTCCGTGCACCTTTCGAGAATCATAGACGAACCTTTTTAGCGAGTATCTCGTCGGTTCGTTCGAGTTTAAACGAGCACGTTAACGTTTTGAAAGTAGTTTAGTATGATTTCTTATAGACTCTTCGTCGATCCTGACAAACGAAGTAACAGTTTTAAAAATGGCGACGAAATACAAATTCATCTTGGGTGCAATAGAGTTGCTCTTTGTACGAAGAATGTTACTTTTTAGACCAAAAAAGATCCTTTGTTGTAATGCGTTGCCTTCGACCCAGGCCTCTTTAGATCTCTCAGAAGCTTGGACTATAAGGTGGACTATGAATAGTAAGGTTTTTGGGGTCGATTTTCTGAATTTGTGTGGGTCCAGAGTATGATGGGAGTTTTGGTGGATCGAGTCCACAATGCTAATAAGTGAACGCGTTTTCAGTATCGTTCAGGTGACCAGAGAGGTTTGTGGAAGCTTGCGCGCCAAGTACCATCGAGTATTACCAAAGACGAGTACTAGTTTGCAACATAAAACGCGAAGGTGAGAGGCAAGAGGGAAGACCCGGGTTACCAGTTGCCTTACCTGACCTCCCCTCGTAAGAGTACGCGCCGGTGACTCGCGTCTCTTCTTTCCCGAGAGCGTAGCTGCGCCGCGGCCTGTTGCGGTGACCTTTGCACGTCGCGGAAAACGCCGATGCTCCGTGAGGAGCGAGCGAGTGGCACGAATCGAACGCGACTAGTCGATTTCGAAAGTCTCTTCGCGGCGGAAGAGACGTCGGGGTGAGACGCCGGAGACGAGGAGGATGATGATAATGATGAAGAACAACTGGAAGGCGGAGAGGAACGCGTTCCCCTTCGTTTAACTATCCACGTTATTCGTACGATCGAATCCCTTAAAAAGAAGGGATGCCTTGACAAAGTTCGCCATTTTCCACTCTATATTTCGCGGTACCAACTTGGCGCTTTAATGGCCGCGCGTTTCACGCGAAGACCGTTTCCTGTCGTCGTTAGAAGTTCCCCGACTATTCTTCGATTACTTTTTATTTCAATGTTAGAGTGTTCTCGTCATAATTCGGTGGTGTTTGCTTCATTCGAACCGATCGTCCATCGAACAATTATACCAACAATCGCGAAGTAAATATAAATACCGATTTACTTTCGGTGAAAGGTTACCGCAATGGCTGAACCGTTCCGTCGAACGAAAGGTTTCAAGGGACAGTTTTAGCAAGAGACTGACTCACGCTCATTGACTTTTGAACCCTCTAAATGATTAACATGTTTTCCACCCCGAACAAGGGCTGAGGGCGATCTGATTGACCCGTGTCTTGCTGAATTTTAATACCAGCGAACAGTTTGAGAATAGTTGAGGCTGGATGAGAAACGTGCTAATATCGATAGCACTCTTTCAACTAAAAATATTATATACCGTTTAGTGAACAGAAGGGAGTCATTTTTATCGGTGGTAAATATTTATTTTTGTTACGTGTGTTACAATTCAGTATTAAAAAAAAATATTGATGTAATGTAGGGACGCTGAACCTTTCTGGAAGACACCTTTCTAATAAGAAAAGCGAATTTCTGCGACGTTTATAGGCAAAGAATTTTTCTCCTGTCAGACTACGAAAATGATGTTTAACAGTTAATTTTTATTTATTACAATTATGTAGGGTCGTATGAATTTTCGAAAAAAACATATTATAGAAATAAAACATTATATTCTACAAGCATACAGATAAACGAAGATCAATTTTCACGTTTATTCGATTAATTTCCAATCTTTCATTTTTTCATGCACCTTTTATTAACACCAGAGTAAAATGTGAAAAATCTTATACTGTAAATGTTCATTCACCGATCGAAAGGATGGAAAAGAACGTATCGCTATTACGAGTAACAATAGTCAGACATTTGCTACAATCTTCCCATTATATTCGTCCTGGCGGGAGTAATTGGATCTAATAGCCGTTACAAACGGATTGTTTGGTAGCAATGCTATCGTATTAAGGTCTCAATGATACAGATTAGTGAGAACGTGAAATCAGTCTTAACAAACAGAGGTCTACGATTACGCGGGGTCATAAACGGTTAACTACACGTGTGCAAGGTACACGTTTAATCGCAGAGTTTTAGGTATTTTCCACCGTTTGCGCGGCCAGTTCGAAGTTCTATTGTTCGTAAACGTGATCGAGTTTGTTCTGTGCGCGAAAAGACCGGTCGAAGAGCGACGCGAAATGGTGTAAGTGAAGGCTACACCTACGAAAGAAAGGTGCAGGAGTAACCGCTATCCAAGCTACGCGCGCGTATGCCTCTTACGATCATAAATTTCAGCATCGATCCTTATTCGTCGGGGAAGAGTAACCGATTCGATTGTTCCGCTTCCGCTCTCCCTTGTTATTGCGCTCGCGAGCCTAAGCGAAACTGGGAGCACGCTGCGACGACAATGTTTTCGATCATACACAGCTTCCAGGTTGCCTAACAGACCTATCTTAGATTATATCTGAGGCATAATCTAGGGAATTTAATGTATTATACTTCCTCCTGTCAGAGAGCATTCTTTTCTCTTGTCGATGATCAGTACTTACGTCTTCATTGGTCTCGGTTTCTTGGTTTCCGGTCTCCTAGTTAGTAGTCCTAGAGTTCCCCTAAAACTGTACGACACCTGGTATCAGACTTTTTTAATTATCTTTATAGTTTGTATGTATAGTGTATTGGTTTTTAGTTAAAAGAGACTGTTTTGAGGAGTTAGGTTCTGAGTCTATGCTAGGTTTAGGTACTAGGGGTCCAGGTTGCCTAACAGACCAATCAACGATTATATCTGAGCCATAATCCATAGAATTTGTTGTACTTCCACCTGTCAGAGATCATTTTTCTCTTTTGTCGATGACCAGTAGGTCTTCCTCGGTTTCCGTTCTCCAGCGCCAACTGGACGCGTCGAAAATAAAACAGAATTAAGGGGAGTTCCCCTAAAACCGTACGGCACCTAGGACCAGACTTTTACTATCTTTTATATTTTGTATGAGTAGTGCACTGTTTACCAGTTTAAAAAACTGTTTTAAGCAGTTCCGTACCCCGCTACTAGGGGGTCATCAAATGTTTGGTCCAGGTTGCCTAACAGACCAATGTACGATTACACCTGATCCATGATCCATAGAATTCGTGTTACTTCCTCCTTGTCAGAGGCCATTCTTCTCTTCCCTCGATGGCCAGTAGGTCTTCACGAGCCTCAACTTCCGTTCTCCAGCGTCAACTGGAGAACGCGTCGAAAATAAAACTCTCTCTCTCTCATCGAATTAAAAAGCGTTCGAAGAGTGTGGAACAATGATCTCGCGGGGCCGTTCTCTGCGGGGGTTGATACCGTTAAGAGAGACGTGTTCGCGGACCGATCGACGGAAAGAGAGAACGCGAGAGGAAAGAGAGGGAAAAAGGCACAATTGAATGTTGGCGGACCCGTGGGCGGGACGCGGTTCGATTGTTTCTTTATCGCGATCATCCTCGCTCCTTCTTCTAGCGACGGCAATGGCAATCTCCACCACCGATCCGCACAATCGTTCGTGTACCAGACGCAAGAGATTTCTATATCGTTAGGCTTGTATCATTGTCCTTCTCGCGTCGCGCGACGCGTCGGTTCGCGCCGCGCTGCTCGGTGGGTGCGCTCAGAATGCACCTTCTCCGCGGCATTCCACGCGGAAAGAAAACCGATCGTTACCTTTTGCACAATTGCATCTTGCGGAACGTAACGGGTGATCGGCGGTCTTGGGGGGATCATCGATTCGTCTCGATCGAAACACCCCCGCA